CGAGCAGGCGGACCCTAACGGACGGGTCGGGTCGGGTCGGGCGGACCCTAGCGGGCGGGTCGGGTCGGGCCGGGCGGACCCTAGCGGTCGGGTCGGGTCGGGCGGGCGGGACATTCAAAGTATGGTGCGTGTACACTTGACACGCGTGAACCCTAACGGGCGGGTCGGGTCGGGTCGGGTGGGCGGACCCTAACAGGCGGGTCGGGTCGGGTCGGGCGGACCCTAACGGGCGGGTCGGGACGGGCGGGCGGGACATTAAAGCATGGTGCGTGTACGCTTGACACGCGTGAACCCTAACGGGCGGGTCGGGTCGGGTCGGGCGGGCGGACCCTCACGGGCGGGTCGGGCCGGGTCGGGCGGACCCTAGCGGGCGGGTCGGTTCGGGCGGGCGGGGCATTCAAGGCTGGTGCGTGCGCACTTGACACGCGTGGACCCTAACGGGCGGGTCGGGTCGGGTCGGGCGGGCGGGCCCTAACGGGCGGGTCGGGCCGGGCGGACCCTAACGGGCGGGTCGGGTCGGGCGTGCGGGACATTAAAAGTACGGTGCGCGTGCCTGGACACGCGTGTGAACCCTACGGGCGGGTCGGTCGGCCGGGCGGACCCTAACGGCGGCGGGTCGGGTCGGGCGACCCTAACGGGCCGTTCCGGTCGGGCGGGTGGGACATTAAAATATGGTGCGTGTAACAGTGGACACGTACACGCGTGAACCCTAAACGGGCGGGTCGGGTCGGGCGGGCGGACCCTAAACGGGCGGGTCGGGTCGGGTCGGGCGGACCCTAACGGGCGGGTCGGGTCGGGCGGGCGGGACATTAAAGTATGGTGCGTGTGCACTTGACACGCGTGAACCCTGGCGGGCGGGTCGGGTCGGGTCGGGCGGGCCCTAACGGGCGGGTCGGGTCGGGCGGGCGGGACATTAAAGTATGGTGCGTGTGCACTTGACACGCGTGAACCCTGGCGGGCGGGTCGGGTCGGGTCGGGCGGGCGGTATCGGGCGGGTCGGGTCGGGCGGGCGGGGCGTTAAAGTATGGTGCGTGTACACTTGACACGCGTGAACCCTGACGGGCGGGTCGGATCGGGTCGGGTGGGCGGACCCTAACGGGGCGGTCGGGTCGGGTCGGGCGGACCCTAACGGGCGGGTCGGGTCGGGCGGGCGGGACATTAAAGTATGGTGCGTATGCACTGGACACGCGTGAACCCTAACAAGCGGGTCGGTTCGGGTCGGGCGGACCTAACAGGCGGGTCGGGTCGGGTCGGGCGGACCCTAATGGGCGGATCGGGTCGGGCGGGCGGGACATTAAAGTATGGTGCGTGTACACTTGACACGCGTGAGCCCTAACGGGCGGGTCGGGTCGTGTCGGGCGGGCGGACCCTAACGGGCGGGTCGGGTCGGGTCGGGCGGACCCTAACGGGCGGGTCGGGTCGGGCGGGCGGGACATTAAAATATGGTGCGTGTGCACTTGACACGCGTGAACCCTAACGGGCGGGTCGGGTCGGGTCGGGCGGGCGGACCCTAACAGGCGGGTCAGGTCGGGTCGGGCGGACCCTAACGGGCGGGTCGGGACGGGTGGGCGGGACAGTAAAGCATGGTGCGTGTACGCTTGACACGCGTGAACTCTAACGGGCGGGTCGGGTCGGGTCGGGCGGACCTAACGGGCGGGTTTCGGTGTCGGGGGGCGGGACATTAGAGTACGGTGCGTGTACACTGGACACGATGTGAACCAAACGCGGTCGGGTAGGGTCGGGCGGGCGGACCCTAACGGGGGGTCGGGTCGGGTCGGGCGGACCCTAACGGGCGGGTGGGTCGGGTCGGGCGGGCATTAAAGCCTGGTGCGTGTACACTTGCGGGACGCGGTGACGACACGCGTGAACCCTAACGGGCGGGTCGGGTCGGGTCGGGCGGACCCTAACGGGCGGGTCGGGTCGGGTCGGGCGGACCCTAGCGGGCGGGTCGGGTCGGGCGGGCGGGACATTAAAGTATGGTGCGTGTACACTTGACACGCGTGAACCCTAACGGGCGGGTCGGGTCGGGTCGGGCGGACCCTAACGGGCGGGTCGGGTCGGGTCGGGCGGACCCTAACGAGCGGGTCGGGTCGGGAGACGATTAATTAATATGATGCATCATCGAGTTGGCACGCGTGTACCCTAACGGGCGGGTCGGGTCGGGCGGGCGGGACATTAAAGTATGATGCATCATCGAGTTGGCACGCGTGTACCCTAACGGGCGGGTCGGGCGTGCGGGCGGACCCTAACGGGCGGGACCGGTCGGGCGACAAAGACGACCACGACGTCGACGAGGTCGGCAACGACGACGACCACGACGACAACGATGACTAGAGCGACGTCTGCGACGACGACCGTAACGGAACAGTCGGGCGGGCAGATGCCAACAAGCCAGTGGGGCGGGCGGACCCTAACGGGCGGGTGGGGCGGGGGGACCTTAACGGACAGGCGTTCCCCACCTCCACGCCCACTCATCCTTCTACTTTTCCTCCTCCTCCTTCTCCTCCTCCTCCTCCTGTCCATCCTCCTTCCCGGCGCAGGTCTGTCGAGCCGGGTCTGTCGAGCCGGGTCTGGCACACCGCATCCGGCAAACCGGGTCTGGCAAACCCCACCTCCGCGCCCACTCATCCTTCTACTCCTCCTTCTCCTCCTCCTCCTCCTCCTGTCCATCCTCCTTCCCGGCGCAGGTCTGTCGAGCCGGGTCTGTCGAGCCGGGTCTGGCACACCGCATCCGGCAAACCGGGTCTGTCGAACCGGGTCTGTCGAACCGGGTCTGTCGAACCGGGTCTGTCGAACCGGGTCTGTCGAACCGGGTCTGTCGAACCGGGTCTGTCGAACCGGGTCTGTCGAACCGGTCTCTGGCGAACCGGTCCTTGGCGAACCGGTCCTCTGGCGAACCGGTCCTCTGGCGAACAAATCCTCTGGCGAACCGGTCCTTGGTGAACAGATCCTCTGACGAACCGGTCCTCTGCCCATTACACCTTGACAAGAATTAGCAAATCATGGCACAGCATCACAGAGCATCTCATAATACGACAGCAGAGCGTAGCGACGACGAACATGGGAGAACACACCATGACACAACAGAACATGACAGAACAGAACACGAGCATGCCAGGCCATGACAGAACAGAGCATAGCAATGTCATAACAACACAGGGCGTGACATAACATCATAGACTATACCAGAGCAGAACATGCGACAGCAGAGGACGACATAGCATACCATATCAGAACAGAGCATAGCGTACCACACCTTGACAGACCATATCATAGCATGACGCAGCATTGCAGAATATATCATAGCACGACAGCAAAGCATAGCGACACATACCAAGAGAGCAAACAACACTATACTATACAGGGTAGAGCCGTCAACAACCACAACATCCCATAACGTACCAACGCAGAACATGCAACACCAGAAGACGACTGAACATAGCATACCATAACATAAACGAACATGACGTAACACACCTTGACATACCATATCATATCAGAGCATGGCAGCATCACATAACATATGGCACGACAGCAAACACATAGCGAAACATGTTAGCATCGCGGGTCCTGGTATACCGTACTGAGCCGAGCTGTCAACAGCAAAACGTAACATATCATAGTATAACATAACCTGACATACCATATCATGTCATAACATTGTGCCGCAGCGCGGTGACAGAGATGAACTTACCATAACACACTCAGTCAAAAGAGAAACATATAAGAAAAGGGGAACATCAGACCAGACGGCACATCTATCGTCACAGGCGTAACGACTTCACGCTGGCCCGGCGAGAACAGAACAAAGCATAATAAAACATAACTTGAAACAACGTGACTATATGGAACACGATTAAACCGTTTTTGAAACCAGAAACGGCAGTTGTCGACCAATTAGGCGACCGCGCGGCGTCGGGAACAAACGCGTAAGGTTTCGGTGGGGATCGCTCGAAGCAGCATATTTTGTATGGTTGTTTCTGACACGTCTCTCGCAATGAATCGAGCGGTAGGTCTTTCAGCCCAACGCGCTAAGCACGCAGTGCTACTAGGAGGAGGCGGGGGAGGAGACCCGAGTCCTCAACTGCCACAACTGCGAAACTGCGATGTCGACCGCTTCCAGCTACGCTCCACGAAATCGGGCAGGGACGAACACCAACACTCGCATGCGGCCGCCTCCGTCGCTGGCTGTGCTCCACACACGACGGAAACGAACAAAATCGGACCCACGCTCGGCTGCTTCCGTGCAACGCAGCCAGGCAGAGCAAAATCATCACTCGCACTCAACTGTCTCCGTCGCCCGCTGTATTAGGCATGTGCGTATGGACGCATGCCGTGAGCCATGGGGGACCCTGGCAATGTCCACTCCCCATGCTCGAAAAGATGTCACCACCAACATGGGGCTTTTTCGCTTGTGACCCTTCTTGGCCCACGATGCTTTAGTGGGACTGGGCCCAGGAGACAAGACAATATTATATCACTGTATTTGGACGTCGAGTTTAAACTAGATGTGGTCGATTGCGATATATTCGGCGTGTAGCGAAGGATGCGCACATGGAACCCTCCGCCGCTTGAAATCGTCAAGCCGCTGGTTGAAAAAATCAACTTTGCATTGATGTATCCCCCCCATAATACCAGATTCTCCTCAGCCTCCCCCTACCCCTCCTCCTCCTCCTCCTCCTCCTCCTCCTCCTCCTCCCCTTCCTCCCCCTCCCCCCCCTCCTCCTCCTCCTCCTCCTCCTCCTCCTCGTCATCCTCTTGCTCCGCCTCCTCCTCCTCCTCCTCCTCCTCCTCCTCCTCCTCCTCCTCCCTGCTGCGCTGCCGCGCTGGCACTGTGGTGAGGCTTGCCACGGGCAGGCCAAAAAAACCGTCATGCACGTCTAAAATCCCGGCCTCCGCAGCGGGATAACAGACAATGCCACCGTGGTATCGATGGGCCAGCTCCGTGCGTACCACACCGATCGGCCCCCCAATGCTCCGCCGTGGCTCTGGCCTGCTCTTCAAAAGGGCCACATCCTGCGCCCGGCGACCAGAACGCCGTTGCCACTCTCCTGCAGCTTCACCACCCGCGCGCCGATCTCCGTCTCGAAGATGTGGCGAGCCTCCTCTGGCTTCGTCCAATGCGTGCTGTAGCCGCTGGGCGTCGTCAGCGTGCAGGTGTCGAAGTCGACGCTCGCTCCCGTGAACTCGCCGCAGAGCTGCGGGTTCTTGTGGTAGAAATTCTGCACGGCGTCCCCGAACCTGTTGCCGTTCCAGTACACCACCACCATGTAGCCGTCGGTGCCCGCGAGCTCCATCATCTGCTGGTACACCTTCGCGCGGACCTCCTGCGGCATGATGCCGATCGTGTTGCCGACGCAAGTGACGACCTTGGGCCGGCCCTCGGCGTGCCACTCGACCGGGAGCTCCCGGTGGCACAGGCCCACGAGGTCCGTGGCGTCGCCCACAAGGTGCTTCACGCGGCTGCGGCACTCCTCGGGCACGGCCTCGCGGCAGTAGCTGATGAAGGCGGGGTTGAAGTCAATCCCCAGCGCGAAGCGGCAGCGGGCGCCCACGCCCACGGAGAGGGGCAGCAGGGCCTCGCCGGTGCCGCAGCCCACCTCGACCAGCAGAGGGCCGTGCTCGCCCGCCCCGCCGAGCTCGTCGCAGAGGCCGCCGATGAAGTCCGTGGTGTCCTCGGAGAGCTGCGCGAAGAAGCTCTTCGAGCAGTACGCCGCGGACCGCCACTGCTCCACGCTGAAGCTGGCCCAGTCCTCGTTGGCGGGCCTCGGCGCCACAGGGGGCCCCGCTGGGGGCCCGGAGAGCGCGGCGGTGGCGCAGTGAGCGGAGGCCGCCCGGGCCTGCGCGGCGCCGAGGGCGTGGGGGCCGAGGCGGGCCGGCGGGCGCAGGCGCCTCCAGGCGGCCAGGGCGGGCGACCTGAGCAGCACCATTGCACAAGAGGGCCGCAAGAGCGCCGGCTGGGGCCGAAAGAGCGCCGGGGCTCTGAGCAGCAAAACAGCTCAACCAAAATGGCTGGGGAAAGAAACGCATCGAGCTTGGAGCGCGGACATGCTGCCTGCATCGGCCCGTCCACCCTGTGCGGGTCCAGCGCCGGTCCAACGGAGCCGCGCGGACCTCCGATAATCCCACCAGCCCTCTGGGCGTAGGTGGTTTAGGGAGTTTCCTCTTCCCCTTCGGGGAGGGGTTTACCCCTCCCCAGAACCCCTCCCCTGGACCTGGACGGGGGGTTCCGCGACGCGTTGGAGCGTCCAAAACGGCCTCGGCGAGGAAGCCAAAATCATTGGCTTTACTAGGATTCTGGCCTCATTTTGGCCTCCTGAGGCGCCCAGGAGGCCCCAAGAGGCGCCCAGGAGGCCCCAAGAGGCCCCGAGATGGCCCCAAGATGGCCTCATGTGGCCTCAAGAAGCCCCCAAGAGGCCCCCAAGAGGCTCCCAAGAGACCCCCACGAGGCCCCAGGAGACCCCCCAGAGGTACCCAAGACGCTCCAAGAGGCCCCGGCGAGAATGCCAAAATCACTGATATTACTCATGTTTTTGCCACATTTGGGCCTCCTGGGGGGGGCACTGCTTCAGATGACTCCACGAGCGCCTGGGAGAGCCCAAGATGACCTCCAAGATGGCTCAAGATATCCCAAGATGCCTCAAGATGGTTCCCACGATGCTCCAAGAGGCCCCAAGACCGCTTCAAAACGGCTCCAAGTGGCCAAAGAGCTCCCCCCTGGAGGCCCCGAAGAAGCCAAAATCCTCCCAAACCTCAGGAAAATCAATGTGTTGGACTTTCTCGCCTTCTCGCCTTGCGAAATAGGGGGTCTTAACCGCTCCGCGATCGATCGCGGAACGGTTAAGACCCCCTATTGCGAGGGGGGGGGCCTTAACCAGGATTCGATCGATCGCGCAACGGTTAAGACCCCCCCCTGGCGAGAGGGGGGGGGCCTTAACCGTTGCGCAATCGATTGTGAAACGGTTAAGCCCCCCCCCCGGGGGGGGCCTTAACCGTTGCGCAATCGATTGTGACACGGTTAAGCCCCCCCCCTGGCGAGAGGGGGGGGGGTCTTAACGGTTGCGCAATCGATGTGAAACGGTTAAGGGGCGGCGGCGGCGGCGGCGGCGGCGGTGGGGTAGAGCTCCCAGGGAGCTCTAACATAGCAAGTTAAAGTATGTTAGCGCTCCCTGGGAGCTCTAACATGGTATGTTAGAGCTCCAATGGAGCTCTAAAATAGCATGTTATATTATGTTAGAGCTCCCTGGGAGCTCTAACATCGTATGTTAGAGCTCCAATGGAGCTCTAACATAGCATGTTAAATTGTGTTAGAGCTCCGTGGGAGCTCTAACATCGTATGTTAGAACTCCGTGGGACCTCTAACATGTCATGTTATAGCTCCCTGGGAGCTGAAACATGTCATGTAAGAGCTCCCAGGGAACTCCCTGGCACCTCTAACCTAGCATATTAGACCTCACAAGGAGCTCTAACATGGCATGATAGAGCTCCAGGAAGTTCTAACATGTTATGGTAGAATTCCCAGAGAGCTCTGACATGGCATGTTAGAGCTCCAACGGAGCTCTAACATAGCATGTTAGAGTATGTTAGAGCTCCCTGGGAGCTCTAACATCGTATGTTAGAGCTCCATTAGAGCTCCAATGGAGCTCTAGAATAGCATGTTCGATTATGTTACAGCTCCCTGGGAGCTCTAACATCGTATGTTAGAGCTCCGTGGGAGCTCTAACACGGCGGCGGCGGCGGCGGATAGGTTAGAGCGACCAGAGAGCTCTGACATAGCATTTTAGAGCTCCCAGGGAGCTCTAACATGCTATGTTGGAGCTCCCATCTTAGAGCTCCCTGGGAGCTCTAACATACCGGGCTCCAACGGAGCTCTAACATAGCATGTTAGAATATGTTAGAGCTCCCTGGGAGCTCTAACATGGTATGTTAGAGCCCCGTGGGAGCTCTAACATGCTCCAACATGCGATGTTAGAGCTCCCAGGGAGCTCTAACATGGCTTGTTAGAGCTCCAACGGAGCTCTAACATAGCATGTTAGAGTATGTTAGAGTTCAGTGGGAGCTCTAACATGGTATGTTAGAGCCCCGTGAGAGCTCTAACATGGCATGTTAGAGCTACCGGCCTCCTCGTCGGAAGCGGCCCCCTCGACTGGCTGGGATTAGGGCTGGTTTAGGTTGATGTTTTTTGATGTGTTTTTGATGTGATTATGGTCTTCCTGTTGTTTGATGTTTTTTGATAGTGATTATGACGATGTCCTGTTTTTTTGTCTGATTGTGATGATGACGATGTTTATGACGATGATAATGATAATTTCGAATGGCGACTATCCGATCGTATATATTCAATCAACATCATCTCCATCACCATCATCACCACCATCCATCACCATCATCACAACCATCATCACCATCATCATCATCATCACGACGACGACGACGATGGCGGGGGGACGGCATGCGGACGTGCCCAATGGGACGACGACGACGACGACGACGACGACGGCGGGGGGGACGGCTCGATGGGAGCTCTAACATGCCGTGTTAGAGGCCCCATCGAGTATGGGAGGCAACTCTAACATGCTGTTAACATAGCAAGTAAGAATATGGTTGAGCTCCTTGGGAGTTCTAACATCGTATGTTAGAACTCCGTGGGACCTCTAACATGTCATGTTATACATAACTCCCTGGGAACTGAACCATGTGATGTAATAACTCCCAGGGAACTCCCTGGCACCTCTAACATTGCATGTTAGACCTCCCAGGGAGCTCTAACATTGCATGTTAGAGCTCCAACGGAGCTCTAACATAGCACGTTCGATTATATTAGAGCTCCCTGGAAGACCTAACATGGCATGTTAGAGCTCCAGTGGAACTCTAACATACATATCATGTTAGATTATGGTAGAGCCCCAATGGAGCTCTAACATCATATGTTAGAGCTCCGTGGGAGCTCTAACATGATATGTTAGAACTCCGTGGACGCACGAAGCCAGCGCCTGAATTCAATATAGCAACACCTGCTCCCAAAACGAAGTAGTCGAGGATCGAGCTCGAGGTGGGGCTCCGACAGGTGGGCGCTGTGGGGGCCATAAGGAGCATACGCAATTTGCGAACAACTCCAGAGCCTTCCAAAACTTCAGGAGCCACATTCCAGCCCCCTGCGCCGCGTCAGCGCGGCGAAAGAGCCAGCGCGCGAGCCAGGCTGCACGCCCCCGACATCGGCTACCAGACGCCCATGCGAGGTCACGTGTCCTGCTGCTGAGCTCACTGGTGCTGCTGTTTGTCCTTCTGCTTGAGCTCCTCCACTTTCTGATCGAGCTCCTCGACTTTCTTCTGCAGGTTGTCCTGCGCCCGCATGAGAGCCGCGAGCATCTGTCCCTGTGCCCGCAGGAGAGCCAGAATCTCATCCATCTTCTCGTCCTTGTTCTGTGCGTTGGTCAAGAAATTGAGCATCGTGGTGATAGCGGTGGTTAGCCCGTCCTGCTGCTGCTGCTGCTGCGGAAGCTTCTGCTGCCACTGCTGTGGTCCTGCTGTATCAGCTCCTGCTGTTGCAGCTCCTGGTGACGCAGCTCTTGAGCTGTTCCAGCTGTTCCAGTTGTTCTTCTCTCCTGCAGCTGTTCCAGCTTCTTGCTGATGGCCTTCACTTTGCCATTGCTCTCCTCTGTCCTCTCTGGCCTTGGCCTTGGCCTTCCTCGTCGACCTCCAGTCCTCCGCTTCATCGTCTTCCCGCTTCTGGACGTAGCTCGAGTGGAGCTCCACAGTGCTCATGATGGTAGAGCACCATGCGGTCTTGTCCTCACCAGAACCCTGTGGACAAGCATCATGGAACCAGAGATGCTTATTCGTTACATTGTTGATGTGGTCCTGCGAAATCTGGTGCGTCGGGGCTGCCCATTTTTTCGCAGGGTGAACGATACCACCAGGGTCCATTAGGTTCTCCACTCGTCTTCGAAACATACTCCTTAACTTGTAGCCATGGAGCATCAATGCGTCCAGTGTCAGGGTCCATGATGACGGTTTCTAGACATGGGCCAGGAGGCCCTCCTGCGCTGCCCCCCATTTCTGGCATGGCAGCCTGCAGGCGCTGCAAGAAATGCCTTGAGCCGAGGTGCTTGCGCTACAGGAGAGCTGGGTGTGCTCTACTACTGCAGCGGCTGTCGCAGCGGCTGTCGCAGCGGCTGTCGCAGCGGCTGTTGCAGCGGCTGTTGCAGCGGCTGTTGCAGCGGCTGTTGCAGCGGCTGTTGAGCGGCTGTTGCAGCGGCTGTTACAGCGGCTGTTGCAGCGGCTGTTGCAGCGTACTGGCGATTCTGTCACTTCTGCATCGCAGCCTCAGTCGTCCCAGAGGTGAGGTCGAAACGGGAGATCGTCCTCATGCTCGCCAGTTTCTGGGTTGAGCTCTACTACTGCAGCGGCTGTTGCAGCGGCTGTTGCAGCGTACTGGCGATTCTGCCACTTCTGCATCGCAGCCTCAGTCGCCCCAGAGGTGAGGTCGAAACGGGAGATCGTCCTCACGCTCGCCTGTTTCTGGGTTGAGCTCTACTACTGCAGCGGCTGTTGCAGCGGCTGTTGCAGCGTACTGGCGATTCTGTCACTTCTGCATCGCAGCCTCAGTCGTCCCCACCACGCACCACGTCTGGGTAGTGGCCACTGCGCGCACAAGACAGCGGAGCTGGGCAGCTTCGCAAATGGCGCTCATAATGTCCTACAGACATATAGGAAACTGTATGCGCAGTGCCTGACCGCAAGCCCCTGCTGAGACGCGACCTTGTTGTCAGCACGGGGGAAGTGCGCGATCACATGCTTCTCAACCTCTCCGCATTATTTGTCGGGGAAGGACGCGACCACTTGCATCTCATCGTAGCTGAGCTTGTGCCCGCGCATGAAGCTTCGGTCGTTTCCTCGCCACCCCCATCCTCCATTCCATCGCCATGCA